ATTCATTCCTGCACATTCTAATATTTATTCATTTTCATATCTTTGTTTTTTCCACTGTTGTGCAAACACAATTCCAGCAAACACCTTCTGAAGTAGCTCTTTTATTGTTTTGTGTACTTATTTTAATCTTATTTAAGTAGTAAGTGCACAAAATAATAAATTTCCTTTTTTACATCTTAGATCATCTATTGGGGCAAAGAATTCAGTGACATCGTCTTGCCCACTCCCATCTAGTCACATGACTGCCAAGCCACTCCCACCCAGTCACATGACTGCCAAGCCACTCCCACCCAGTTACATGGCTGGCAAGCCACTCCCACTCACTTGGTCACATGGCCAGCAAGCCACTCCCACTCAGTCACATGACTGGAAAGCCACTCCCACAAAGCAGGCCACACCTACAGAGGAGGTTCAAATTTTTTTAAAAACCCACCACTGGTCTTACTAGGGTTTTATAAAGTAGTACTAATACTTCACGTGATCTTGATGCCTCTGTTTACATATAAATTTTTTTGGAACAGAATCAATTCTCACAACATAGATTTCTATGTTCCTCAGATTAAATCTTCTTAGTCTTTCCTTTAATAAAGCAAAACTGAATCCAGTTTTCTACTGTAAAACTTAATACCCACCCCTTTCCTAGAAAAATGAAACAGCCTACAAAGTTGCCCCTGCCTGACCCTATGGGAGTCTGACAACCAATCATAATACAAGCTCGGGTTCCAAGGCTAGAGAGGGCATAAAACCAGGGACTTTCAGCATCTCAATCTCTTTTCTTCTTCACCCAACATCTGAAAGCATGTGATCCCCTTTTTCTGTCTAGGAACTCAAACCATGTGGTCCTGTCCACCATTAAACCATCTTTCCAAGCAGCCTCCATGTTTCCATTGTCTTTTCCCTCACTTGGAACTGAACCAGAGGTGGGTTCCTACAAGTTCGCACCTATTCGGTAGAATTGGTTCATCAAATCTACCGAACCGGTTAGAAGAGGTTCCACCAGTGGACCCGGAAAGCAGGCCACACCTACAGAAGAGGTTCCAAAATTTTTTGAAACCCACTACTGGTGTGTAGTTTCCATAGCATGACAGCCCTCATTGATCAGAGAAATATTTTCTATTCTTCTTCCAGAGTGAGATAGCCATGAAATCTACTCATCCTTCTATTCAAAACAAAAGATTTTACTACTTCCTAACTAAAGGCTAGAAAAATTAAGGGATAGCACATACTTTCCAAACCTGTTTAAATCTTTTAAAAGACAGCTCAGAGCTAGTTTATAAAAGACAACATACCTCAGGATATGCTATTTACAGATTATACAGGGGCTTAAAGTATACAACTGACCCTTAAAATTACTGTAACATACATTACTATTGCGCACAGAGATAGAAGGGATATTTCCTCTTTATCCCCAAATCTCAATAACAATATTAAACTATTTTTGAAGGTAAAAGAAGAAAGAAAGTAACAAAAAGGAAATGTACTCTATATGCAAATGTGCTTTATATGCAATTTTTCATAAAAACATTCACATCTGAAACTCACATCCTGGATTTCAAAGTTTATAAAGAACTATTTTACACAACCCAACTCTTCAAAAAAGATTTTCGGTAATAGTGTTCAGAATCAAAAATGGTATTTTTGAAAAATGTCTATATAGCAATGGAATTGAGCACTGTGAACCTCGAATTCTTTTAATGATAAATAATAATATGAGATGTGATAATTTTGTACTCTGCCTTTCCCTGCTAACCCGTAACCAGGACAAATTTAATGAAAGTTGGAAATATAATATAATATCATCAGATGATATTTCTTACTTAAACATTAACAACAGGACATGGGAGAAAATATAGGATGGCATTGTAATTTCCATACTTGTAATGTATAAAGGTAAAAAGGAGAAGTATCAATACATACCTGCAATTGGGAGGTGGATCTAAAGTGATATCAGCCAATTCCTTTTGAATCCTATGACAATAAACAACAAAGGTTCACATTATTTTGTGGAGTTAGTTTGATCTATTTTTTAGTTTCCCTATTGACAGAATTGAAAGAAAATTGCATAGATTTACAAAAGAGAAGCCAGTAAACATTTCCTGATATTTCCTAATCAACATTTTTATCACTTAAATTAAAGATAATAGACAAAAGACACATGAAATATTCCTTCTTTTCCTTCCCCAAACAAGACTTCTCTATAAATTCCTAAAGAAAATCTGCTTCTTTTATATTTATTGTTTCTGTTGTCATAATAATAATATAAACAAGATACAGAGAACTAGCTCTATTAGCCAACTTGTTTGAAAATTCTCCTTCAGATTCCAGTCAAAGAGCAAATGGATCATAACCATGAAGGTGTACAATACAAATATTTGCAGTTGAAATGGACATTGACAAGTCTTGCCAATGAAGCAAAGCATATTTTACAAAAAAGTCTTAAAGTATGTATTGAATTCAAATTGATTGAAAATAGAATTTGTTAATTGAAATGTACATTATAATAAAAAGCAGAATCCTTCTTTCATAAAAATAAATATTTTGTCACATTAGCTTAAAGCAGCAATCAAATATAAAAAAACCTTTTACATTCTTTATGTGAAGACTATTATTATAATCTACATATTCAGATAGGCGAAGAAATGAAATGTTTTCCTCAGGGTAGTGTAATAAGTCAGCAGCAAGGCAGGAATTTACAGTCTGGGTTTCTAGTCACATGCCTTCAACTTTTCTCACTATCAATATCAGTAATATAGACAAATAGTAAGAGGAAAGTTATCAGGAAAATAATGCACCTTTAAAGGAATGACAATGTATATTTGGAAAAGTTATTATCTTTCACAGAGAGGAGTTAAACAGGGATATTGAAAAGAGTAAAATCACATTTTAAATCATATTTTAAAAGACAGGAAATAAAGGTTATAGTTAAAAGACAATTTCACCTTTTTGCACTGGTGGAAAGGAGCTTGGAATTTTTACTCATGCTGACTTTACTTTCTTTCTTCTTAGGTGTGTTTGTCTCTTTCTCAGTCTGTTGGTTGGAGGATGAAGATGAAGAAGAGCTGGTGCTAGCCCTTGAATCGTCATCCGACATAGCTCCCCCCCACTATAGCTCCACCCAAACCTGGAGAAGAAATACCACAAGGAACAGGGAGGGAAACTGAGAATTACTAATAGGTGCATGTGTGTGTGTGTGCATGTGTGTATGTGACTGTCTCTGTGAGTATGTCTCAAGATTATAACTCTTGGGAAACATTTACTTCTCCCATTGCAGGGACTGGATTAAAGGAGGAAAAAGAAATACCCCCCCCCTTCTGCTTTAATAACATTTAATGCTCTGTTCCATCTCTAGATAGAAGGGAGGAGAGAAGGAAAATGAGGGTGACATAGGTCAGAAAGAGGGAGGGGTGGAGGGAAGGAAGGGGAAACAGGATTACTGAGACTAAATAATTTCCTTAAATGTCTCTTCCTGCAATTTTTTGAGTGAGACTTACAAAACCCCTCTCCCAAATATCCACTCCGAAGACACAGGCACATGGAGAAGACACCATCAACAATAATTCACTGTCTATTAATCATAACAAAATGTTGCTGAGAAAGCAGGGGAATCCTTATTTACAAGCTTAAGCAGAAAGAAGAAATTCCCATTTGGGAAGAGGGATGTAGCAAGAATACCTGATCAAAAGTAAAGGTAATATGGTGATAATTTAAGAGATTAGAAAGGAAACTTAGAACCCCAAGATGAGCAGTGGGATGTAATACTTCTCAGGAAGTGTATTATCCATAACTACTAATTTAGAGAGGAGGGAGGATTGATCAGAAAAGAGATGAGGTACGTGTGGGGGCGGGAAATTTGTAGCTTTCGGCCACCATTTGTGTGTTAAGGGCGACAGGAATTTCTAAAAGGCGTGTGTGTGTGTGTGTGTGTGTGTGTGTGTCTGTGTGTGGGTATTTGGGTATCTCTACAATTTAAAAAGGTTCTCCAACGGGACTCCCCGCCCGCAGATCTTTTCGCTGTCTGCTGACCCCCCCCCTCCCATGCTGCTGCCCACTTCTCGATCCGGATACCCCCTTCTTTCACTTCAGCCCTCTCCCCCTCCAATTTCCCCCCTCTCCAGCCCATCTTTTGCCTCCATTCACAAGCAGGACAGGGGGGTGGGGTGGTAGTGGTGGAAAGAGAGCTGCACATCGAAGCACCCCTCTTGCCACTGCCGGCCTCTTGCGGCTCAGTCGAAGGGACAGCTGTGCTGGGGGTGATATCTGACAGCCCCAGAAAGAATCGCCCCAAATCCTTTCCTTCCTCCATTCCCCCGATCTCCTTTACCAACCCACATCGTTCTCCCATCTCTCGCATTCCCCGGGCAACCACAAAGCCCCACCGGCTCGCTTTCCCTCGTTTTCCCCTCAGAGCTCGTCCGGACCAAGCCGTGACCCAGGAAAGGGGAGCTGTGTCTGGTCGTGGCGTTGGGGTGCCCCTTCCCCATACCTCTCCCTTTGTGTCTGGCTGCTCCTCCTCGGTGCGGCTGGGCCTGGCCACTCGTGTGTCTCTCGCAGGGAGAGAAGCGGAAGTGCTGCAACAGCAACTATTAAACAGGCAATGGCTTCCCTGCCTGGCTCAGCCCCCCCTTCCCCCCCCCCGCCAAGCAGGGAGGGCATCCAGCCAACCGGTGCCACACATAGTACTACACACACAACACACACACACACGAACGTGCACGCAGACACACAAACGCGAGTACTACTTATCAATGGGCAGGGGTCAGTATCTAAAGACGTACCCAGTGCCCCATCCCAAGAGTGTTTCCCCGGAGACATGGCTCTATTACCAAACTGCATCCTGAAGATTTTTAGACGAGCAACGAGAAAAAGGGGGTAGTACCACCATCCTCATGCTTGTGAGGTGAATCTCCCCTTGTTGGATCAAGCGAATAGGACTTCACACCTTAATAGGGCACTCTTCAGAGGACTTTAAAAATAATAGTGATAATGACAACAACAGTATGAATGACACAATGCGAGATGTCACTTTAAAAGGAACCTGTCTGAAAGGGAAGACAAGCAGAGGCCCCCACCCCACACTTACAGTACACTAACAGTTGGGATCTTTCCCCCCTTTTATCTGTAAGAACTTGAAAACATTAAAACGTGGGGAGAGAAAGAACTATCCAAGTAACACAATATTGGAAAGAGTCTGATTTTAAAATTACCCTTTTCCTTTACTTTCTTTTACAGGCAGTTTCCCCCTGCTCCCTGATTTGCAGGCAATAAGTCTGTTCTCCAACTAACTTCTCCAGGAATTTGACATACAAATTTATACTTTCCCATACCTGTGTCATTTGCAACTCATATTATTTTCCTCTAACTTAATCTGCAACTTTGACTTCATCTTTGTAATGGTGGTGAGGGTGCTTGTTTTCACTTTTTTGTTTATTTTAAATAAAGCAATTGGTAACCATTTACGTTCTTCAAACAATGCAGAGCTATCATTAAGAAATTGTAGTCGCAATCCAGCCAGACATGTTGATGACAAGCTGTAGATTCTGGCACCATTGCATTATTAAAAAAATGATAGTGCTTGATTGTTTAAACTGTTAAAAACATGTCATCTTAGTAAAATGTTTATTAACATCCACATTATCTCATTTTTCACACTTGGTTCTTATATCCTCAAATATATCCATAGTGTTGAATCTCATTGAATAACTTCATTACCTTCTGATGGTGAACTCTGTAATATTATAGATCCTATTCTTGGATTATTATGAACATGTCTGAAATTGGCAACAGACAGAAACAAAATCAGTCTTATTTTCTGATGTATTACTAAAAAGCCTATGTGTAAAAAAAAAAATGCTTCATTTGTCCTGTCCCCCCCCCCTCCCCTTTTAAACTGTTACAATGATGTGCTATTTGTAAGGGACAAGTGATGTGATGCTATGTTAATTAGATATATAAATTGCTGAAGTTTCTCACATATCAGCAGGTTCCACGTTATTTGTGAAGAAAGAAAGCACTGGCTTTGCCATTCTTTCTACTTATTTCTGAGTCAATATGAATAGAATTGCAGTATCAATTCAGCCTAGAACAGGAAAGGGCATTCAAAAGACATACTAGCCATAGAGTGGATGCATTCAGCTGGACAGTCTTTTTCTTTCCTTAAGGGTTTCTGCTTGTATAAAATAAAAATGAATAATATTCTGAGTTTTGAAGGCCAAATCGAAGCAAGCTGGAATATTTTTAACTACAGAAAATTTAGTATGCTCATACCAAGTCACCAATATTTTCCAATTTCACTTCTTTAGCACCCTAGAATCCTAGAACTGGAAAGAATTGTTTAGATAATCAAGTTCAACCCCTTGCTCAATGTAAGAATCTGATTTTAAGCCTCTCAAACAGATGGCTGTCTTGCTTCCTGTGAACATGCTCAATTATGGGAAGTCTCTTTAGTAATTGGTTCTACTGTGAAACTGCTCATTGTTAAAAGTTTTTTTCCTAACAGCCATTTAGAATTTGCTATGTCTGAGGAGGCACTACATAGTTAAGAAAAGCAATATTGCTCTATTTTGTGTGGATGCTGTAGAGGGAGAGAAGTCAGCACTCCAAATGGCTTTTAAACACTTGTGTAATTTGATTCGCTGCAACATTTCTTTCATATGGAGTCCAGCTGTTTCCCTCAACCTACCCCTATTAAACCAGAAGGCAAATCTGACACTGAGAAAAGCCAAATATCTAAACAAGGGATACCTGATATATTGTAATATGTATTTTAAATTTCAGACTTAAATACGACAATGGGGAGGGAAAGCCCAAACCATGTGAGCCAATGTTCCAATTCTAATTCGATCTACAGCAGCAAGAAACCGTAGCCCATCCATCTTGCACACTTTTTTTCTATTAAATTGCTTACTTTTTAAGATAAAAAGAGTTTGGTTTTAGAACAACCTGCTGTTCATTTTCAGGACAGGATTTTCAAATTCATTATTCCAAAATTTGGTTTGTTGGTTAAATAAATACTTCCTTTATTTCTTAGGTTTGGGGCTATATCCATTGACTTATGTATAAATATCATTGAACTTAGTGAAACTTCCTTCTGAGTGAATGTGTGTAAAAATGTGTTATTATAAATGCATTTTAATTTTGCTTTTATATTTTATTTAGTTATTTTTCAATTTAATAGGGTAAAAATGATTCAAAAAGAGATCTGGATTTTCCTCTGTGATTCAGGATATCAGAAAACCAAGTTTGCCTTTCTACATCTAGATTAGACATACATAACTGTCAAGAAGAAAGAGCCACATTGATAAACTAAAAATCCTTGTAGGCTGCAAAGAAAAACATGGTTTGGTTGTTTTGCAGATAATAGAAGGGCATAAGCCTTGGAACTGACTGGTGGCTGTAAATCTATTACTTTAAAAAAAATCAGTGGGTAGTACAAACTCGTTGAACAGGCCTGATCTAGATAATAAAAAGTCTGAAAAAGTTACACTATGTGTGTGTTTTTAAAATATTTCATTTCTGTCAATAACATTTCCTTAGATATCATAGGGCATTCCTTCATCATTGGTTCTTTTAAACTAAAAAGTTTGCCAATATAATTAGAGTTACAAAATAGATTTAAGAATGTATTTCTTCAAAGGTCTGTAGATCAGAATTACCCTATACCATTCTATGTTGCAAATCTCAGAAGCAGAAGTTTATTTAGATATTGTTATTCAAAACCTTTACATTAAAGCATATATACAGTATTATGAATGTGCATGTGTGACACATTATTATGATATACATGTGGGACTGCTTGTTGTATATTGTCAGCCTTATGAACAAGCTGAAGTAACCCTATTCAGGCTATATAGGGAAGAAGGCAGGTTTAGGGAAGAGATAAAGAAAACAAACATGTTTTCATTTCCACTAATGTCTGTTGGATAGCATTAGAGAGTTCCAATCTGGAAATACAGCATTTTATTGTTATGTATGAAGTGGTATGGGGGTAGGTAAAGGGTTGTGGAATTGAGGGGGAGATATAGGGAGAAAAATATGATAGGGAAAGCATATCAAGAATGGTTTCTGAAATTCTTTCCAACTCCTTAAGAGCAGCTCCACTCTAGATTTTCCCACAAATGGGGTGGGAGGAGGTAAATAATGGAGCAATTGGCAACATTCTGAACTTCTGCCCAATTGCTTCTTCCTTTGAGCTGCATTGGCTTTTAAAAGATTTTTTCCCCTTAGTCCCAGCTGGATCTGTCCCATTTTTTAAACTCAATCTTTCTATTGCTCATTCATCCCAGCACGTCAGATGTGTTATTGTATTTGGAGTTATGCTAATGGACAGCCAGCAAGATTTCACTTGAATTAATACAGGTAGCTGTCAAATTATAACCATAATGGAGCCTGCTGTTACAAACATAAGTTGTAACAATTGTAAAAAGAATTGGTCACGTGACTGTTCATAGTGTTTTTGTAGGTTATTAAGTGAGCATGGTTGTTTGAACCCACTGTTTATGATGAATGCAGTTTTGCTAAAAAATTCTGGGTTTTGGAAAACTGTCATAAAACCTTGATCAAGTGATCATGGGATGCTGGGATGCTGGCAAACTGAATTACTGAGCATCTAAAGTATTTCACTGCCCAGGGGGAGTGGGGAGGGTCACTATTAGAACTTGGATCTGAGTTATAAAATCTCCTTTTTAAGTAGATTGTAACTTTGAATAGTCAGTAAGTGACCTGTTGTAAGTTGAGGATTGCTTATAATAAGATAGGAAAGGCGTGTAGAGCATGGCTTCTGGAATTCTTTCCAATTCCTTTAGCAGTAGTGGATGAAAGAAATATCAATAATTTCTTCTCTGCTATATGTGGTGTCTGCTTTACCTTTATATTGTATCTCTGGGTTTGTGGGAGACAAACAGGCCACATATGTTCTATGAAAGGAAGAAATAGGAGGAAGGATTTATATGAAGCAGTAGGTAACTGCACAGATGTTTTTCATAAGTAAATATGAATGAATTTATTTCTGGAATTTTTAAAAATTATTTTTGCTCCTCCCGCTATACCAAATTCAGTCCCTCTTTGTTTAGTTTTTGGAGAGGCATCTTGCTGACAGACAGTAACAAACATCCTGAGCCTTTTTCATTTCAACATTGAAATTGAAAAAAATAAAAAGAAGTTCTTTTGAAATTATACATAAAGGGAGTGATTTGATTATTATACCTTTTCTCAACATTTATATTGATTATGCTTCGCATTCCTTCATGAAGTGGATGGCATCTCATTATAAGTTATTGGTAATATTAAATGCATAACATTTCTGGATATCTGTTACCAGAGCATATAGATAGGAAATGCTATCAGCTATGTCCTGCTCAAGCTTTCATATACTTCTGGTTAGAACAGAAGTGGTAGGAACAAGCTCATTTTTCAGAGCTGGCCTAGAGTCCATCTCCGGGATCCCTCCCCCAAGAGTTCATAGCTCTACTTATTAGGCTATGAACTACATTAATAGAAAAATTCAAACATTCTTTTGAATCCCTGGATATGTTTTATATGGACACTCTTTTGTTGTGTAAGAACAACAGGGAAAATTGGCAAATGCTGTCCCTTTT